GGACTGATTTTCCTATCTGGCAACTCTATCCTGGAACAAAGTTTACACTCAGTGCAAAGTCACGTGGTGGCAAATTTATAAACATTGCACAATGGTCAGAACAGACAAAGGAATTGTGTCTGTGAAGTTCCATTCCATTGTTTCATCCTCTAATAGTCACTTTTCAGTGGGTGGGGCTGTTTTGTTTTTCTATTTTCATATTGGTTATAGGACTGTTCTTCTGAGAAAATGTTTATTTTCTTTGTTCTGATAATGCCATAATTTCTTTAAATTACCTCCTTCCTCAGTTTTTCTGCAGACTGCTGAGCTAGATGAAATTACGGCTGAACTCTTCCCTGTCTCTTTATCTTGTACATATTCTGACTGATGAAGAAATCTATTTACTGTAGCTTGAATGTCATTGGCCTACTCTTTCCTCTGACCCAGGAGTGAGCCATCATGAAGGCATCTGGTCTAACTCAGAGTGTTCTGCAGGGAAACAGGCTGGCATGTTATACATTGTCTACTGGCATGCTGTCTGCTTGATAGACTAGGAGAGTCAGTTCTGGATACTTGGCTTGGTTGGCTACCAAGCTTTGCTCTCAGTGAGAGGTCAGAATAATGTCAGTTTGCAAATGTTTGAAGAGACATTCCTGTCATCAAGCCTGGAGGGTTAGCTGAATTTGATGGAGTTTTACAGGTGTCCTTGGACGTGGCTTTTATAGGACTTTACCTAGATCAACATTTCTGTGCATATTATAATATGAATACAAAGCTTATTCATATGATAATATTTGGAGCAGTATAATCTATAATCATGATTTTAAAAAATCAAGGGTCAAGAGGATTCCTTAGCAGTGCTTTAGATCTGCTAACCTAAAAATTATACAAGGATTTTTCTTTCAAGAACTTGAACCTGACAAATGTGAGGAAATATCTGACATTGCAAGGGGAAAAAGAAACGTTAGCTCCTTGATACATCAGCACCATCAGTTCCTTTCTGGCCTTGCAGGGTCAGAACTCTGGGCTTCAGGGAGGTGCGACTGGGAATGAGAGTGTAGCTGCTGTGCTAGCAGCCTGTGCCTCCAAAATCAGCAGACTCAGCACTTTCCGTTGTACTGAAACCCATTCGGTGTGCTCTAAAGTTATGTTTATTTTAATTTCCTGCTCCATGGATCAGGGTTCTAAATGACTGTTTTCAGAGGAAAGTATTCCATCCAGAATTATTAAATTTATTACCTTTTCATTTTGATTTCCTGGAAGACAAGTATCTAACATAGCTATTATTTTAAATGCTATATTTCTTTTTGCCTTAATGACCAACAGTCTGTGTGTTCCTTTTCTATTGCTTTGTAACAAACTACCACAGATTAGTGGTTAAAAACACCACCTATTTGTTATCTCACAGTTCTGCACCATGTGGCTGAGTTCTCTGCTCAGGTATTCACAAGGCTGAAATCAACATGTCCGCTGGGCTGCGTTCTCTTTTGTAGGCTCTGGGGGAGAATCCACTTTCGAGCTCATTCAGATTGTTTGCAGAATTCAGTTCGTCAGGGACTGAGATCTCCCTTTTCTTACTTTTGGCTGAGGAGCACTCTCAGCTCCCAGAGGTTGCTCTCAGGTCCTGTCCCATGGCCAGCTTCATCTTCAGGCCTGGTGCTGGGGAATATTCTCTCACATGGAGTCCCTCTCATGCTTCAAAGCTCTCTGACTTCTGTCTCTGACCTCTAAACCCAGACTTAAAAGGCTCATGTGATTAGGTCAGTCCCATCCAGAGGACCTCCCTTCAAGCCAATTGTGCTATATAACATAACATAATCATGGGAATAAGGTCTATCACAATCCTAGTCTTGGAGGTGATGCAGGTGTGTATATCAGAGGGTGACGCTCTTGGGGCCCATCTTAGAATTCTGCCTATCACAGTCTAAATCAATGTTCACAAAATATCACTATGAAAAATGTGCAGTGGATACATCCTTAATAGAGTCATATTAGAAGGATAAGGAGATATTATCTGTAGTCATATGTCCCAGAGGACAGTTTATTGATGGCTTCAATGCAGATTTCCATGGTGAGAAGATAGCATATTATTTCACTGAGTCATGTGGATTTATGAATAACATATGGTATTTTTAACCTGTTTTACTTTAAATCGGTCTTATAAGAGATGATTCATTCTCTGTAGCTAGAATATTCTATTGTAGAAATAATAAATAACAGGACAAATTAAATGTTTGCTACAATTTTAATAGAAACTCAAGTGAGTTCTTGTTCTTTAATAATACTGTCACCCATATGGATGATCTAATTGAGTTTTCCACATTTGCAGTTTTCAGACTATTATTCTACCAAAAGACTAAGCTTTGGAGCAACAGGACATATTGGGGTTCTTCACCACTTGAAATTAAGCATTATCCTGGGATGTACCATTCAAGTATTAGAGAGCTAGATAATCACAGTTCATTCAGGCCTTAATAGGTGTCTCATTGTGTCTGACATATTAGTAGTCATTCTTTCAACTTGAACTTTTTCAAGTTTAATCAGATTCTAGGTGAAACTCATATACTTTTTATTACTTTTAATTTTGTATTATTTTAAGATAAATCAATATCTGGGAAACTCAGAAATGAAAAAGTGAAAAAAGAAAAATATTTTGTTTTTCCATGTAAATGTATTTAAAACACAGACTTTCGTGTTAGGGGGACCTAAACATGGCTATTAGCCAAATTTATCAATCAAGTAATTTAATTTCTCTCTAAAGTACAGTTTCTTATTTTTATAATTAAGTACAATAATGTTGACCTTGCATGAGAGTTCATTTATTTAAAAACATTTAAAGAATCTATCAAAGCTACCAGATCCCTGCCAGGCTCTGAGGATATAGTTATGCATTTATGAATATCTGAGGATATTCATATGTCTTATGAGCAAAACAGAAATAAACCTTTTGACAGAGTTTGTGGTCTGACAAAGAAATAAAGTATCAAAATAAATGCAATAGTAAGTATAAAGTGCTTGTCCTGTTGTCTAGTCTTGTGTGTCTACTTAAAAATGTATTAATTGCTTTCTTCCTTTTCCTTTTCCTGCCTGATCTTACTGCCTTAAGAAATCTCATAACTATGTTTCTGGCAAATGAATTTGAGAAACATGTTGCTGATGGACTGTTATAGAAAATAGCATGTGAAATTAAACATGTCATTGAGGAAGTGAGATTGTGCAATGAACTGAGTTTCCTGGTCAGTCCTGCTAGAACTGTGCCTTTCAGCAAAATGAGTTTGGTGGTTTCATTGCAAAGATCAAGTTACAGCAATTTTCATCATGAATGTTAGCCAATCATAGAAAAATTGGCAACATTTACTTAACAGATGTTAGAGTCTTTCTTGAAGGAAGATTCTCTCAGCTGATGAGCTAACTCTAGTGCTGCTGATGGCAAGAGGAGAGATGGCGATGATGATGATGATGATGATTAATAAAAAGTATTTCAGTCACATTTCCAGGTTTATAAAATGATTTGCAAATATTTTCTATCGTGTTCCTTCTAACACCACTGGTAGAAAATGGGAACTCCTTTCATTTGGTCTATAGATAGTTTTATGCTGCTTTGTATGTAATATCCATAACATTTTGTGGACTTGAAAACCAAAAATAAACCAGCTTGCATATTCATATCTTTCCAGCAACGTGGAAGAAGACAAGAGAGGGCAGTTAGTGTGTGTGTGTGTGTATGGGGGGCCTTTGAAGTATCTCAGAGTAGCCATCCCCAAATCTGTCTGAAAGTTGGGATGCTGCTCACATCTCCCCTGGATGTTATGAAGCAGTGTGTCTATGAAACACTTTGCATTGCTCGAATGAATTATATGAATGATAGGAACAAGAATTATTGACACTTTAGAATAGTCTATTGGAATTACTATGGCTTTGTGTCTATCAAATATGTTAATTATAATGCAGAGGAAAATACAAAATACAACCTTTATCCCCAATCTTTCCACTCAACTAGACCCCGCTCAACTAATATTCAGTGACAGGGCAACTTTAATCTCCACCCATGAAAAACGTTTGGAGGAATGTCTATCACATTGTTTTGCATAGTAACATTTTTCTGATTGATACAAGATGGTTATGGTTAACTGATTTTGTTCCCAGTGCTTCTTGAGTAGCTTCTGACCAGCACATACCTCCCCAGTCTTTAGGTGCCCGTATTTTCCTCTTTTTCCCTTCCACTTTGGCCTGACAGTTTGTAGACAGAGGGCAAAAGATCTTTTCAATACACAGGCGGTGCAGAGTGAGTCAGGTTATTCTTGGATTTCAGCTACTCCCTCCTAGGCAATCAGAGCTTAGTAAACAGTGATTGAGTGAGGAGGCAAAGCACTTAGAGAGGAGCAGGAATAAGTATGAAGAGGCTTAGGTTGGCAGAACAAGGTGGAACTCTGCAGTGGTTTGTTTTCGTCTCCCCAGTATTCCTCTTCAATCAGTAGAAGAGGCTGTTATCAGTTGCTGGTGTTATGACTGGGCACATCCGCCCCGGGTCACACATGCTGCAGTCTGCAAAGCCAGCAGCAGATTGCAGTCCTCTGCAGTCCAGCCAGGCCAGCAGAACTTGTATAGTCGTGTGCCTTGCTATAGCTAGAATACCGAGTCAGGAATATTCCCTTAATAGGGCACTTGAGGGCAAAAGCAATGAAAGCTTTTCCCATATCAAAACAGACTGCCCTTCCCCTAGTGTTTTAAGAAAACAGATCTGTACTGGGCAAGGCAAAGCCAAAGCTGGCCCTTACAACATTATGAAGTCTGGTTTTTCATGGTATTTAATCTGTTTAAGGATCCTGATGAGCGGATTTTCTTCTAAAGTGCTATAGAGATAGATAGATATCATCTTAGAGTTGAGGATGAAATGTCTTGTTCAGTACCTTTTTTAAATGCCTGGAAATACTTAAGTGAATAACTAATCAATTAACAGCATCCCTGGGGGGGACATTGCTTTTTCATTTTAACAGAAAACTCCCCTTTTGATTTTGCAGCCACGACAGCCCAACCCTGACTGGCGTTACTCTGCCTCCCTGAGAGCAGGCATGCACAGGTATGTATTTCCTTCCTTCCTTCCTTTGCTCAGAAGTAACTAGCTTGGTATGGCTCAGATAAACTATATCTCTATAGGCCAGAAGCAGCTGTCAAACCTGAGAGGTTTAGATACTTTGCCAGGAAAATGCAATTATTTTGTTTCCATGTCTATTCCTTGAAACATTGGAAGTGGTCAGTGCCAAATGCTTATCAAGTACTGGCAAATAAGAATCATCTATAAAATCACAGAGACAGGCTGCTGTGTACTTTCTCTTATCACATTTTCTACAAGAAAGTAATTCCAGCCTCCTTCATCCCTCTATACCTATACTTTCTGTTTCTCCCTTAAAAATTATAATTAATACTGATGATTTTGGACTTGTGTACATTGTGCATTGTATATGCACATGTTGTCTACCTTGTTTTTCTGTCTCACATTGAGTATTATATCGTATTAACCATAATAATTGGTTGCTATTCTTATTCATATTAACTCCTATTAAAGTCTCCTTATCTTCTCCATATTGTTGCTATCTTATTGTCATCAGTGGCATGGGCTCTTCAGAGGATGGGCTTGTGAAGGGCCTTCATTGGATATTTGGAGACAGATATCCTATATAGCTTACTTTAAATTAACCTAGAATAGCATTACTCTAAGACTCAGATGAAATATAATTTTGCTTTCTCTAATTTGTCTCTTCGAAAGTAGTTGATTAACTACTGTTATTCCCAGAGCTGATCCAGTATCCCTAGCATGAGGCCAAATAAAAAGTTCATTGTTTATGAGTGTTTTTAGAACCAAATGGGGAGGGATAAGATATGAATATCACTAATACCAAAAGGATTTAACTTTAGAGAAGAAATAAACTTCAAACTTAAGTCCCTCAAAATATTTAGGGAACTGTTAAGTGAATCTTCACCAAGACTAGATCAGTTTCTAAAGAGAGAGCTCACAAAGTATGTGTAGAGTTAATGAAAAATTAGTTTTAGCTCATTAAAAATGCAGTAGATTAAAATAAATGAACATACTCTCAAGCATTACAAACGTGCAGAAATCATTACATTGGGTGCTATTTCTGAGCCAGAGGCAGTCAGCGAGGGCTGAGGATCAGTGGTTGGCTTGGTGAGATGTCACATTGGAACCTGGGTCATAATTTTAGGTCAGAAACACTCTTGAAGATGTCAGCATACTAGACATAAGAAGGAATTCTTTACATTTATTAGAGACCGACTTACGCTTTTGCCTGCATCTGAGCTATTGGCAGAGCCACACAATGAAGTAAAAGCATGATGTAGCAGGTGTCCTCAGACTACGGCCTGCGGGCCGCATGCGGGTGTTCTTGCCCATTTGTTTTTTTACTTTGAAGTAAGATATGTGCAGTGTGCATGGGAATTTGTTTATAGTTTTTTAAAACTATAGTCTGACCCTCCAACGGTCTGAGGGACAGGGAACTGGCCCCCTGTTTAAAAAGTTTGAGGACCCCTGGTGTACAGTATCAACTCTTTCTCTCCCAACTGAATAGCGCTTCGCTTGAAGAGTACCAAAGCTATGAGATGTATCTTAAAAAACTACATTTAAAATAAAATATTAAAACATTTGTCCTGTATTAAATATTGAAACATCCTTGTCCTATTTTCAAACTTTAAAAAAGCTAAATGTGCTCCTATTCAGATTTTACTTATTTTGAGATTTAAATATGATAAGAAATGAAATGAAAATTGAAACTAAAGTGCCATTTTTTCCTTGCAATGTAATGTATTGAACATATATTAGAGTTTTCAGCTTGAATAACACTCATCTTTTTCATACCTGTGCTTGGATTCTTGGCTTTTCCAGCCTCAGACAACAAACATGTAACTGTTCTTTTGAAAATTCTGCTTTGAGCTGAGCTGGTTCCATGATAGTTATATCTTCATGAATCTGACTGAGCCCGTATAATTTGAAAGTAGGATCCAGGAACACCTGAATCCTACACCTAATTGATTAGTTATTAATATTTATATTAATACTTAGTACTATAAATATTAATTACATCAATTGATATTTCAAAAAAGAGAAGATTCTAGAGTGTAGATGAAGGGAAGAATAGCAATAAGTTGGAGTTTAAGGAGTGAGTTTCCATTAGATACATTGTATGAAATCAAACAGTAAGAGAATTTTGAACTTACAGATTACCTTTCACCCCAATAGTTTAAGTTTGTCTACTCTGTTGCCTCACATAACCCTTTCAGTTGGTAGTTGAATTTTATTTTAGTAAATTAATTTTCAAGGTAAACAAATATCTAGTTTTAAAAGCTCCTTTAATTTTGGCAAGGGTTTTCTTGCATATTTTCTCTTAAGATCTTGCTTAGTTCTTCATTCATCTAACAAATATTTGAGGGTCTAATATGTGTTAGCATTAGACATACATAAATGAATACTGTACAATGTTCTCTCTACTCTTGAGTAGTTTATATTCTATCTCTGTTTGCCTCTAAGGGTCTCCCAGTTTGTATCTCACTCCCAGCAATGTTTTATAGTGAATTAATCTCTTCTGAACTGGGATCTGTGAGTGGTGGTGATCAGGTTCCTTTAGTCCCAGGAAATACAGGGTGGGTCATGTATGTGTAAAAGATACAGAGGGAGTAAAACAGAAAATAAGATTAAGAATTAATTGGGTAGCTAAACTGGAACAATACTCTAATTATCAGCAAATAATTTTAGTGTGCTTTCCTCTTTATGATAGAGACTCCAGAAGCAAGAGAACCTGCAGGAGAGGCTTGGGGCTTTTGAGAGCAAACCGTCCTCGTCTGCCTCAGCATTGTGACATTAAAATGGCTCAGCCCTCTGGTGGGCTTTCTGTTAGATTTAGTGAGCGCCACATGGCATTAATGAAAACCAAAATTTATCACTGGAATGGTTTAGCAGGCAGTAAGTAAGTCAGTGATGCTTCTTCAGTTTATGCGAGGTGACTACTCAGCAGTAATTGCTTCAGTTCATGCATAAGCAGAATGTGTTGGCTGTAGCCCTGCCTCCATAGATGTAAGCAGTTTCTAAGGGTGAAAGGAAAGCTGCAAAAGCATTTGTGGTCTAACCATTATCTGGGTCTGTGTGTTTACTTAGCTCTGTGCACCTGGAGGAGGCTGGCATTCTACGGGCTGGTCCAGGAGGGCCTGATCAGCAGTGGCCAACAGTATCCAGTGCCACACCAGGTAAGGCCGGAGTCTTTCTGTTCTTCCCTGGGTTCTGGAAAGTGATCAGATGACCTATTTTTGTAAGACCAGGAATGTTGATGGCTCTCTTTTTATTGTTCCTTTGTTTCCACACATGCACGATTTCCTTACATTCATGATTATTTTGAATTTATACCTAATGTTCTTCAAGAGTGGAAAACAGGTAACATAAATATAAGGGGTTGTGTGTGTGCATGTGTGTGTGTGTGTTTCAAGTTTTTTTAAAAAAATAATCTGGTACTTTTCAAATGTGGAGGCCATTCAAGGCACACAGAGAAGGTCTGGTGGCCTCATGCACAGAAATGACACTGTTCAGAAAAATCTTTTGGTTGAAAACAATAGAAACCCACTCCAAGCGGTAAGCAAAAAGAAGCAAGATAGGTAGGTAGGTAGGTAGGTAGATAGATAGATAAATGGAATAGGGTTTCTCATGGAAGTGGAAAGTTATTAGAACCAAGGCATCACTCTCTGTGAGTTCAAGTCAAAGTCAGATCTGCTTCTCTCTGCATGTTGACGTCATTCTGCAGACTGACTGACTTTTACTGTGTTGGCATGCATGTTGCCAAACATGACTACCTGACAGTTTCTTAGTTTAGTGGACCAATGGGGATCAATTCCTAATCCAAATTTTCAGGAAAGAGAATATGCCAGATTAGGTGAAAAATGCAATGGCTGGGTAAGCATAGAAAATTGCTTAAATTCACATTTCCTTAGTTTCCTTATTCTTGCCCAATTACTAAAGCAGTGTCATATAATAAAAAATATGGATTTGGAGGCCCATCCTTGTGGCAGTTTACAAAGAGGGAAGATCAATGAATCAATGAAAGCCCTTAGAGTTGCCATAAAAAATGAGTTGTCAAAAAAAATGGCTCTTATGTGTTGGTAGAGATCATAAATGGTGTCTACTTTAATTCTCTATTAATAAAACATGATGATGATGATAGTAGTTACTAATTATTGAGCCATAATAGGCCCAGACACTGTGCCAAGTACATTACCTGTGTGGTATCATTAATTCAAGACAATCTCACAAGGGATTTTTTATGTCAATTTTACATATAAGAAACTGGAGATACAGAGAGGTTAAGAAACTTACTCAAGTTCACACAGCTTGTAAGTGGCAGAGGCAGAATTAAACCGAAATGTGTCTAGCTCTAAATCCACATGTATCTAGCACCTATATCCATAGCATGGCTGTCATGCAGGAATCCATCCAAATTCAAATACATACATACACACATAATAGATAACATAAAATGTGTGTGTAAAAGTTCTTTCCAAAAATAATTGGGTGCCATTTCAATCATTAGGCTATCCAAGTAAAGTACAGCTAAGTGCCTGTTTTTGCTGGCAACTCTAAGGGCTTTCATTGATTCTAATCAGCCAGCATTTGCTATTTATGAATGTTGCACAATTCAACTAAAAGTCACATTTGTCCAAAAACTACCCAAGTTGAAGCAATTCATTAGAGAGCTAATATTGCCATATGGCAAGGGGGAGAACATAAAATAGTTCATTGACAAATCTACGCCCCCAGTGCCAATGATGGAGTGGAGAAGTGATGGAGGAGGAAGTGGTTTTAGACTGCCAAGTATTGTAGGATGAGGAGGCAGCTGGGAAGGTGAGAACTATTCAATCCAAGTAGCCACGTGAAATCATGCCTTTCTACCCTGCCTTCATTTCAGAGTTTTTCTTGTTCTCGCTGAGGCATCGTAGGTCAATCTGGTGAGCCAAGAACTAACTTTGAATACATTCTCCCTCCCATTGAAGGTGCTGGTTGGTGTCTATTCCTAGGCAAATGTGAAATAGGAACCATCTATTGATTATTTAATCCATCTGGTCCAGGTCTCTCCTTTGGATTCAAAAAATGTTAGGAACCCATCTCTTTGACAGAGACGGGGAAGGGGGGGTCTCCATTGATCCCCTCCTTTATAGTCCGGGCCCCTCCCGTATAATTGCTTTCATCCAAGACTGTGCCTGGCTGCTGACACACGAGTTGCAGTCCTCATGGGCTGTGCTGGATAGAGCTTACGTCTTCCAGTTGCTCCATGGTGACATAAAAATACTTGTCAACATACTTCCACATCAATGATATAAAGTTAAAGGGATTCTCCTCTGCCTTCTGTCCTATCCTTTTGGTACTTTTAGGTTTTAGGACTCAATATATGTTCACCACTGTTTGGAGGGAATATGGTATAAAGATTAAAATTATGATTTGGAGTCAGATCTGAGTTGAATTCCAATCCCAAACTTACTTGCTGAGTGAGCATAGACATATTGCCTAAATTCTTATGTTCTTTTTTTTTTTTTACCCACCCCTATTCTTATGTTCTTAATTACCCATTTTATAAATTGGGTATAATAATAATACCACCTGTTTTGTTGAGTTGCCATGAGAACTAAAAGAGAAACAAAGAGCTGAATATAGTGCTTGACATATAGTATTAATAAATGTATGATATTTTTTCTCCTTTTTTTGTGGGATACTTTTTTTGTGTACAATCGATGATAGCTGGCTGATAGCTGGTGGCCAGAATTCAGTAGTTCTCATTTGTAGGCCCAAACACAGATCCTCTGAGGTTGTCTGGATTATCCTGACTTATATACAGTTTAGTCACCCCTAGACACCCTCTTGGAGATGGAGCGAGGCAGATTTATTCGTTGTTGCCTGAAGAAAAGGAAAATGCTCTGAAAAATTTAGTTGTTTCCAGTCCCAAATAGAGCCTGCCTTTCACTGATTCTGTTGCCCTTAGTGCTTCATGGTGAAGGTGCAGTTGCTTCCAAAAAGGCTTCTTTCTGGTGCCTGAGTCTCCTTCTACCTGTGTCTGAGCCCTTCTCACAAACCAGCCATTTATTGCTCTTCGGAGACCAACACTTGCAACAGCCAGGGGCATAAAGGGAGTGGGCCTGCTTTGCATGAATCTTTATTCACTTTATTCTTTATTTCTTGAAGTTGTTTTTCTTCCATTGATGAAGAAAAACAACTTTCCCTTTGTTACTAAACTGTTCATTTATGATCACAGTCTGCAAAACGCCTAGAATAAAGATGTCACACTCTGAAGGGAACAATGAGGGCATGACCAAGTGATGTGTTCTGCAAGATAAACAAGTCAGGCATTAAATTGGTTAATCCTAAGTACTGGCCCCCTTCTCCAGCCTCACCTCTGTTTCAGCAGACCTGGGCCACAGGCTTTCTTATTTCTTTTTAGCCTCCCTTGAGACTAGGCAGGGAGAGAAAATTAGCTAAATGGAGAATGCACGGAATACAGTTACAGCCTATTCTTCAGATGGGGAAATGTGTTTTGGGGGGAGGGGCATTAAAGGGCCAGTCACTCAAGTGACAACTCTTTAGCTTTCTTGGTGTGAATGCCCTGAAGAGGTTTTAATGTATGCCCTCTTGTGAGCAGTTCCTAGAGAGAATCTCTCAAGAGGTTATAAAGAGACTGCCCCTGCCTATGAGGGAACTAATCTGGCTTCAGTGGGCTGGGCTGCTTTGCTGTCTCCCACTTGTTCTTCCAGGCTTCACTTTCTACATTTCATAGGCTCTCAGGACTTACCTAAGGCAGCAGTAAATTATTTTTAGAGTGGGAGATACTCACTGTTTTCAAAAGAGCTGCAGAGAATTCCAAATACAGCACTGCTAAAGATAACATTGCAGCTTGTCAAAGAAGACCCCAGGGGATCTGGGACTAAACAGTGACAGATTAATTAGGTAGAGGAAGCCCCCAAGGCAACGAGGCTTAGTTAGAGAACCTTACAGTGACCAGACAGTGGTTCTCAAAGTTCCTGGAGCAGCAGTAGCAACAACACCTGGAAACTTGTCAGAAATGCAAATTCTTAGGCCCCTACCCTAGACTTATCAAATCAGAAATTCTTAGGAGGGGGCCCAGCAATCAAGCCTACTATGTTATCCTGGTGTACCCTAAAGTTCAAGAATTGCTTTAGGGTTAATATTTCTGAGGTTGTCTGATATCTTTAGAGGCGTGCGAGGAAGGCATCTGTTTATACAATTCATGTAAGAAACAGGCAGCCTTTCCCCATACCAGAGAGATAACTGTTAAGAGCTCAAGCTCCGGAGACAGTGACCCTTTTTTGAATTCTACCCCTGCCACTCAGTAGTTGTATATTCCTGGGACCATTACTCAACTTTTCTGATTCTCAGTTTCTTTCTCTATAAGTGGACATAATAGTGGTGTCTACCTTATAGTGTTGTTGCAGGAATTAAATGAGGTAATGCACACATATTAAAGAGACTGCAGAATAAAAAGTGTTTATTAAATGGTAGCTATTTTTTATGATTTTTCCAAGGTCTGAGTCTATCCATCAACCTTAAAATTTGGACCTACGTTGTTCTGAGTAGTCTCTGTGGGGAGACTCTGTTATAGAAAAGATTTTTTTAAAGTGCCTCTCTCTTTATTTCCTTAGGGAATATTTTTGTCCTGGTTTGCCACATCCTTTTACTCTGTGGAAAATGGACACAGTTTATGTGCCCTAGTTTTATATGGGGATTTGTGTTCTCATTTGTCTTAGGGATTCCTGCCTTTGTGACCAAACCAACTCCCTACAGAGGGACTCCATGGAGACTCCATCTCTGATTCTTTCCCAGAAAGAAATCATGATTCTTAAGTTTTTTGGAATCTATTTAGGAGCACTGTCAACATGAATTTTTCCATTTCACGAGTGAGTGAAGCCTCAGGCCTTATTGGAGAATTTAGAAAGCATGCTGTTCCACTAACCCGCTCAACCTCAACTTCTGCTGTTGCCATGGCAATGACAGTCCGGGGAGGTGTGTGCATATCCTTACTAGGGGGAAAAATGAGATCAGGGATCTGTGTGAGTGGGGCATCTCCTTCCCGCCAGTATCCTCCACTCTCACCTTCTGTCTGATGGCCCAGGAGTGCCAGCTTGGCTTAGCGATCTCTGCCTGAGGAAAGTAAGTCCTTGTAAGATGTATTTTCACTTTCTGGGGGTGTGAAGCT